AAAATCTGGATAATATAGTAACTATTATGGTGATACATTTACTGAATTCACTCTTCACCTGGTTACGAATGTTTAATCTGGACTATAGTTACATCCAGTAATGTAATACAAATGCCACGTGACTTGAGCCGCAGAAAAATAACGTCATGACAGCAGTGATTGGCTGATGCTGCCACAAGAACTTGCACAGTCTCAAACATTACAAAGGCAAAAAAAATATTCACACTGTTAAGAGCCCTCCAAAACCACTTGGCACTGGTAAAACATCTACTATATGTTGAAATTAACGTGATTCAAGTGTTTGAAAAAATGTTTGTCAAAATACATGTCTATATTAAATGGCCAATAAAGAAGAAATGTGCTTGTGAAAAAAGAAGCACACTTTAGCTTACTTTTAAAAGAGTACTTATAGAGAAATAATATACTTTAAAAGAATATATTTAAGTGCAAACTGAATATTCTGAATTTGTCAACACTAAATTGTTGCATGTCAATCAATGAATGTTAATTGCAATTAAAATGAAAGTGTGTATTATATTAATTTTTTTTTAAGACTTTTAAGTTTGTTTGTTTTTTCCAATTAAGTACATCTCTACATGTAATTTCATGATTACTTTGATTGTACTGTATCTATGTACTGGAAAGCATTTAATGTAAACTGAAATCAAAATGTAAAATATTGTATTTCTATTGAAACTTGTAAGTCATTTACACATTTGCATTTCTAAATTTAAAATATATTAACCTGTAATGTCAAATAACATAGTTAAAATTATAATCAAGTACTCGACATGTGCTGTAATATGTTAGACAACACATCAAAAATAAGTGCTTCTTTAAAGCACAATAAAAGATTATTATTACATACCATTATTGGCATTATTATTAATTATTTTAAATGTACTTTAAAGTAACTGACATTACAAATAGTGCCTTTGAAAGTGTACTCTCTTTAGGTATATTTAATTTTATTAGCATTACATTTTTTTTTTCCAGTATACTTTTATTTGATACACTACACTCAGAAAAAAGATGCAAAGCTGTGACTGGAGTGGTACCCTAAGGTAGCTATTCCTAAATAGTACATATTAGTACCTTAAAGGTACATACATAAAGTGTACATTTAGTGACAGTTTTTTTTGTTTTGTTTTTTACACAGGACATTTAACATATACAGTTTTCTAATACACAGTGTGGTCTCTGATATGCACACTAGACTGGACAATTCGCTCTAAAGCTTGTCAAATCTATTCTGAATGTATTTTCAGTGGGGTTTTCCTTGACCGTCCCAGAGCTGATGTGTTCACATGAGGCAAACCGTTGTTCATCCACAGCACAGGTTAAAGACCTGAACTGAGTGAGGTCACTGTGAAAGAATGAGAGAGCACACTTCTCACTCTCTCTGCAACACATTGTTCCTGGACGCCACACAGACGCTCTTGGCTCATTAACTGTTAACTCAACATTTAAGTAAAATTAAATTATAATCAGAACCACAAGCGTGATTACAGATTAGCATGACATTCCTACAAAGCACGTCAAGAAGATGATCTCAGTGTGAATTCAAGTCCAAATCAATCCTCAAAGCATGATTAGTCCATAAAATCTTAAATCAGTGTGCTGCTGTCTGATATTTCAGCTCTGAATGAGTGAACAAGTGACACTTTAGATATCATGGTTTATAAATCTCCTAAATGGCCAAAAGAGGGAATATTTCAATGAATGAATGAATGTTTCATCTTTCAATGGTTATTCCATCTCCCTCAATTCTCGAATTGTCCTTGGGATCATCAGTTCTGGCCATCAGACAGATCTTGGGTACTTTAGTATAAAGAGGGAGTTCATGGGTGACCTGATGACAGCGAGGTCTTTGGCTCCTTTGGCAGCAAAACAAGGCCAAATCATCTCCCTTCCATGCAGCACAGTGTTTGAGAGTAGGTTTGACGTGTTTGTGGAGAAACACTGTGAGTATAATGACGGTTCAGTCTGTTCTCATGACATTGTTCTACAAATACTGTGGATTGTTCAAATGTAACTTTAAAAATGCAACCCAGAGCTGCCAGAGAACAGGCTGTATCCTACCACACAGTCTTTTCTGGATTGTACTTTAACATCTAACATACGCTACCATTCAAACGTTTTAGGGCTGGTTAGATTTTTAAAGGTTTTTAACATTAAATAAAAAATGTAAATATTATTTTAACGTACATTACTAGTCAATAGTTTGAATAAGAGTTTTTAATGTTTTTGAAAGTCGTGTTCACAAAGGCTGCTTATTTGATTAAAATACAGTACAATTTAGACTGTGTTGTATATTAATATACTTTAAAATACAATTTATTCCTGTGATGTTAAAGCCATATTTTCAGGACCATTATTTCTGTCTTCAGTGTCACATGATCCTTCAGAAATCATTCCAGTCTGCGGATTTGCTGCTCAAGAAATATGTCTTAGTATTATCGATGGTGAAAAAAGTTGTGCTGTGCAATATTTTTGGGAAACCATGATACATTTTTAATGAAATATTTTGTAACATCAAAAATGTCTGTCATATTTGATCGATCTCATCCTCAATTTTTGATCTCTCTCTCTTTCTCTCTCTCTCTCTCTCTC